TCAGGGATGGGGAACCTTTTTTCTGAGAAAAAAAATATTTGTGACACCATTCACAGGTCAGATATTTAATTGACTCACCCATAATGTGACAGCAAAAACCGTTTTTGGTGAGGCATGTGATGTTAACTGGTGTTGATCATTTTACAGGTCTTATAAAGCCTGTGGGCTGGATACTGCCCTCCTTTGCTTTAGAGTCTACTTCTGATTTAAGTTTTCAAGATTATCTCAGGGCAGTAGTTTGGGGGTTCATCCAGCCTTCATTTCAAGAGAGTATGGAGTACATGAAAATTAAGTTCTGTTTTGTGTTTTCCCCCTTTTGATCAGGATTTTTTTTCATAGAATTTTTGATCAAAGTATTTATTAATGGTGGCCGGGCACCATCCAATTCTTCTGGTCTCATGACAAAAGTAGCAGTTTTTCATGGAGACAGTTAACTACACATTACATAGCTTCTTCCTATTTTTGCCTCTCCTTCCTTTGTAGCTCCAAGCAAATAGAGACTAATTTTGTCTTTGGCCATTGCAAACTTTTAAGAGCCTACGCACTATGTATCAAACTACAGGGTAGAATAGAAGCATTAAACATGGAGTTAAGCCAGTTAATAGGGATGTCCTATGAAACTATGATCCTGAACCTCCAAACCAAGGAACCAAATCTCATGAGGTATTTAGTTCTACATAAGTAGCCTTAGCAGCTATACTTTGTGATTGGGGGTGGGTAAAATTCGTCGAAAATTTCCACTACCTTTCTATTTCATTTTTCTATGACCTATCTATCAACACAGCTTAAGACAATTCAACTCTTAACAGGTGTACTACTTATTAAAGGAATCCTGATGGGGCAGTGAGTTAAGCATCAGACTGTTTACTGAGTGATTAACAGTTCAAACCCACCAGCCACTTGTGGGAGAAAGATGAAACAGATTGCTGTTGCAAAAACGTGCAGCGTTAGAACCTTGTGGAACAGTTCTGCTCTGCCCTCTCGAGTTGCTGTGAGTCAGAGTCGTCTTGAGCACAGTGGGTTTGGGCTGACCACTTATAGATAACAATGACATTAATAAGCTATGAAGCTTCCTTAATAAATGATATTGTTCTATTATAAATTGAGACAGTACTCCATAAGCAAAAATCCTCTAAAACTCTATTATTGAAGTCAGTATGTGAAACATAACAAAATAAAAATAACTCCTGTAGGTTTTAGTTATAAGAACTACATATTCACTCCAAAAAGCCAAACTCGCTGTCATTAAGTCAATTGCAACTCATAGCTACCTTATAGGTAAAACTGCTCTGGTGGGTTTCCGAGACTGTAACTCTTTAAAGTGAGTACAAAGCCCCTTCTTTCTCCTTTGGACCACCTGGTGCTTTCAAACTGCCTACCTTTGGATCACTTAGAGCACTTTAAAAAATACTGATTTTCATGAAATTGTACCTATCAGCAAGGTAGTCTCTGCTGTCTGGTCTCTTATTTGTCTCACCGATCCCTGCCATGAACTCACTTTCTATCTGAGCTTTTTGCTTTCTTAGGCTCTTGTTTCCCCACTCCACTTTCTCTGCCTCAGGGACTCTATTTCTTTTTCTCTGTCATCTTCTCTCTTTCTGCAGTCCTCTCTCCTTCTGCACTTTCTTGTCTCTCCCACTCATTGCCTTTCTCCCTCTCTGATTCCCTTTCTTCTTTTCTCCCTTTCTCTCTCCCTGCCCTCTTTCTGCCTCCCTTTCTTTTTTTTCCTTTTTATTTATTTATTTATTTTTAACAATCATTTTATTAGGGGCTCATACAACTCTTATCACAATCCATACACACATCAATTGTGTAAAGC